AAAGGCCACTGAGTTAAACCACCTGCCTTTTGATGAACATATTGTTAGGCATATGAAAATGCCTTTCTTTCTCTGACCCAAGGGTTATTTCAACTCTTTAAGATGTGCAATAAAATGGAGAGAATTTAATTTGCCAAAATACTAACAGGGCTGACTAGACCAAATAGCCCACATTGGCAGGAACCTCTCCCTACAAAGTACACAGTGGGGAGCAGGTTTCGGCAGCAGTGGCAGGAGAACGGGAGGTCAGAAAGCTGTGTAGCGTACAATATGATCCCTCCTCCATGACACCCCAATCTTCTGTAGAGTACTTGCATTCATGAGATATTCAAGATCTTTTCATGGACTCTGATACAGGGAGAGAATCAAGAGAACAACCACAAAAACAGCAGAAATGGGCAACCATAAAAAATAGGAGAACCCACAGAAAGTTTGGGAAAGGCTTTTTACTATCTCAGGCCACAAAAGTTGGGCCAAGTTCTCTCACATCTTTGAGGACCAGGAGAGCCTGGGTTGACATCAGACCTATGAGTGATTTCACCTATTCCTGCTTTAATCCACTGGGTTGATGCAGACTTCAGTTCCCAGAGGGCAATCTTACTTCCTCCTACCTCAAGTGGCTTTCACACAATGCTAATAGTGGCTGTTAGAGAAGTTAAGCAGGCTGAAAGAAGGGAAAAGGAAGACAGATGGACAGAGAGAGAAAGAATATAAATAGGCAGACTCTCAAGCAGTAGAGAGGGGGGAAAAGCAGTGGTAAGTGACTTCAGGGTGTCTAAAATCAGTCCATGTGCTTTTCATCATTGACACATTTTCCACGGTTTACAAAATCTTTTTTTTAAATTGATATAATTCACATATTATAAAACTTACAATTGTAAAGGGTATCACTGAGTGGTTTTTAGTCTATTCACAAGGCTGTGCAACCATCACCACTATCTCATTTCAGAATATTTTCATCATCCCAGAAAGGAACCCTGTACCCATTAACAGTCATACCCCCATTCTCCCCTCCCCACAGCCCCTGACAACCACTAATCTACTTTCTGTCTCCAGGGATTTGCCTGTTCGAGGTATTTCATAGAAACAGGATCATACAACATGTGGCCTTCTATGTCTGGCTTCTTTTACTTACATGATGTTTTCTAGGTTCATTCATGTTGCAGCATCTATCAGTATTTAATTTCTTTTTATAGTTGAATAATATTCCACTGTATAGATGTATCACATTTTATTAACATTTGGGTTGTTTCCACTTTTTGACTATTACGAAAACTGCTGCTATGAACATTCATGTTCCATTGGTCTACCTGTCTATCCTTAGGCCAATTCCAAACTGCCTTGATGAGTGTAGTTTTGTAGTAAGGTTTTGATACAGTGAAGTATAAGTCTTCCTCCTTAGTTCTTCTGATTCGAGATTATTTCGGATATTCTGGGTTCCTTGCATTTCTATGAATTTTAGAATCATTTCCATCAAGAAGCCAGGTAGATTTTAATAGGGACAGCATTGTACTTGTAGATAATCTGGGGATTACTGTCATCTTAACAGCATTGTCTTCCAATTCATTAACATGGGATGTCTTTCCATTTATTTAGATCTTTAATTTCTTTCAAAAATATTTTGTCATTTTTCAGTATATAAATTTTTCTCATTCCTAAGTATTTTTTCATAGAAAGAAAATTTTATTCTTAAGAATTTTTGATGGTATTGTAAATGGAATTGTTTTATCAATTTTGAAGCTGACAAAATTGAAGGGAGAATGAGACAATGAAATAACAGTTGGAGATTTCAATACCCTACTTTCTACTAGACAGAAGATCGACAAAGAAAAAAAGGACTTAACACCATAAACCAACAAGATCTAACAGACATCTATATAGCATTACATCCAACAAGAGCAGAATATACATTCCTCTCAAATGCATGTGGAACATTCTTTAGGAGAGACCATATGACAGGTCATAAAACAAAACCTTAAAAAATTAAAAATACAGAAATACAAAATGTATTCTCCAAACACAATGGAATGAAATTAGAGAACAGTAACAAAGCAATCTGGAAAATTCACAAAGATGTAGAAATTAAACAACTCAGATTTTTAAAATAGGTTAAAGAAATCACGCAAATCAAAAGCACAATGACATATTACCTAATATGTGTCAGAATGGGTATTATCAAAAAGAAAAGAAATAACAAGTGCTGGTGAGAATGTGGAGAAAAGGGAACCCTTGTGCACTGTTGGTAGGAATGTAAATTGGTGCAACCACTACGGAAAACATTTTGGAGGTTCCTCAAAAATTAAAAATAGAGTTACCACGTGATCCAGCAATTCCACTTTTGCTTCTTGTGTTTTGGGGTTCTGTTGTCAGGTGTATCTATGTTTACGAATGTTGTATCTTCTTGAACAACTGACCCTTGTATTAGTGTAAAATCTTCTTTGTTTCTAGCAACAATTTTTGTCTTAAAATCTATTTTGTCTGACATTAGTCCCCCAGCTCTCTTTTTTGGTTACTGTTTGCCAGTATAACATCTTTCTCCAGCCTTTTAACTTCATCCTATATGTATCTTTGAATCTAAACTGTTTAGTAATTCTAACATCAGGGATTCCTTAGGGACTGTTTTTATTGAATTTTGTTTCCTGGGTTTGGGCCACACTTCCATATTTATTTGCATGCCTTGTCATTTTTGTTGAAAACAGTATATTTAAAATAATATGTGGCAACTCTAGAAGTCAGATTCCCCCAACACCCAAAGTTTGTTGTTGCCACTGCTGTTTGTGATTTTCCTGAACTAAACCTGTAAAGCCTACATTCTTTGCTGTATGTGGCTAGTCGAATCTTAGCTTGGTTAGTTTAGTTGTCAGCTAATGATTGGACAGAGTTTCCTTAAATTACCTAAATTTAAATTACATAAATTTAAATTTCTTAATAAGTCTCCCAGTCTTTACCAAGGAACTCTCTGTGAATGATGGAGCATGACCTCAATACTCAGACAGAGAATTTACAACACTGTCATAGCCTTTACTTCTTTCTTGAACAGAGAATCAGAGTCAACGAGAGGTGAAAGCTTCAGGCATTCTCAGGTCTTTCCTGGACATGTCCAGAGCCCTATCCATGCATTTGACCTTGTGGATTCCTAGGAATATGTAGGGAACTTTTCATCTCCCCTACAGACATTTCATTTCCCACGTATCCCTTTATGTCTTCTGGTCAACTTGTTGTTTGTGTCCAACTGTTATCATTTCCCAGGCAGCTGTGATGTTAAAAAAAAAGTTGCCACTGTTTATTTTAACAAAAATAACCAGTGAGCTCTGGGTCAGGTCAAATAAATACAAGCTTTGTGAGTGGGATTTTCCAGGGAACTGCCAGATAGATCAAATAATAAGTCATCTGGAAAAAGAAAAAGGAAGGGGTTCAACCCTATTCTGCTCCCTCCACAGACTGCCACGCGACTGGATTTTACTGTGACTGCAGTGCTTTTCTATACTACCATGTGGCAGGGAGAAAAGTATGGGACTGGAACAAGTTAAAATGCCAAAATACTCACTGTTCTAACTAAGATTCAGTTATTTTTCTTGATAAACACTTCCTAATTGTTGCAAGCCTTTGGTTTCCTGAGTTCTCAAAAAGTGGATTTTAACAATTTTTGCCATTGTTCTTTTTGATTTAATTGGGGATAGGAATTTTGGAGATCCTTATCCCACTCTTCTGGAAGATGTCACCTCACTTAATCTTAAATTATTTGTTTTATAGCTAGCTGTCTACATATCTGAATCCATCTCTTACTTCACCATCTTCCAAATGGAGATTATAATTTAGCAGTGAGGATCACATACAAACTTTTGGACCAACTAACACAAAACACAAAACACAAAACACTTATCAGGTAAATCTAAATCTTTTAGTGCAGTACTTTATATAAAAGAAAGTGAGTATGTGAGAATTTTTTTTTCAATACATGCCACATGGGTACTGTTTCTCTCCTACATATCATGACCCTCTGCTGCTACTTCTTAAGTCCTCCACTGCAATAAGTATCCACTAGTGTCCACTGCTGGGTGAATGGCTGGCATTCACTCTGCATCTGGCACAAGAGACGCTATTGCCACAGAAACTCAGGAAATGACATGAAGCTAGTCCAAGTTCCCAAGATTCTGTCACCATAACATTAGTTGGGAATTTACAGACTTAAACTAAAATCACTAGAATTAATAAAGAGCTCTTTAAGTGTCTCACTAGGTTACTTTTATTACAAAATCAAGGTTTTATAAAAGGTCATATGAATTACCCTACATTAAGTAGCATAATTTTTACTCTCACAAAGTATTTTCCTTAGCGTGAGACCTTATCTTCATTTTAGAGTTGAAGAAATTGAGACATTTTCTTCAGGCTTTCCTAAGAGTACTCAGTAGGCTCACAGAAGAGCCAAGACTCTAATGAAGTCATTGATATTTCCAAAAGATATTCCAATTCACTCAATGAATAACAAAGCTTAAGTGCAAGAGAATTTAGCAAGCACAGACTCTTGGAGCTGGAACTCCGCAGCCTGAGGATCGGACCAGCTGGTCAACTGGGACTCTCTGACTTCTTTTCTCTACTCGTATTTCTGCAAACTCTTCCCACCTACCCATTCATCCAAGGGCAAAACTGTAATTTACACAGAACCCAATGATGCCCATGATGCTTTCGACTTGGTGGAGCCCGTTTCAGAAGGTAAGGAAAGTCCGCACTTGGCACCCTCGCCTCTCACCCCATGCCTGGGGGCCAGAAACAGGGCCGAGATGAGTCAGTTTAGCTCACCTGCGCTTTCCTTCGCCTGTCCACCGCGCCTCCGGAATCGCACGATTATCTCTGAGGTGCCCATGGCGCTCTGACTTGGAAAAGCTATTCCGACGCGGGGAGTCCCGCGGCCTCCAGGCTGCGGAGTGTTTGGCCAAACCGGGCGGTTGCTTAGCAACGCCGCCGGAAGTGACGACAGTCGTCTCCGAGGGACGGAGAACGGGCAGCAGTCGGCGGTGGGCTGGAAAAGGAAGAGTGCGCCTGCGCGGGAGGTCGAGGCTATGCGTGGAAGTGGGGCGGCCCTCGCTGGCAGGCGCCGGGAGGAGGCCGGAGGACAGGGCCCGCGGCAGCCGCGGGGAGGCCAGGACCCCTGCGGATCCCCGGCCTGGGTCAGTGAGGAGCCCTGGTGATCCAGCCAGGCCTGGGGCTCCCATCCTCATCCCCATCGCGCGCCTCACGGAGAACGACAGCCAACTGGGTCCCTACCCCTACCTTTGGGACGTACCCAGCAGGTGTGCGGGAGAGCGAGGCCTAGGCGTGGCGTGTGTGGTCCACGGACTTCCTCGCGGGTGGAAGGTGAAGTGCAAAGCTCCCCTCACTGAACTATAAAAACCCAGGGATTAAATGACAGAAAATCTGTTTTTTTAACACGTTGGTTTGTAAAGCATGATCTGAGCTAGACAGGGGTTAGTTTTTTGTTTGTTTTTTTTTAGAAAATAGAAATATTAAAGCTTAGATGTTTTCCCAGAACAGTCATGTTAAGTAGGACCCTTAAGATATTTTTAATTGCTTGGTAAATACAGTACAGTAAAATGAATGTATTTCGAGGGACCAGTAAGACCTCTAAGGACACAAAAACCTGTTAAAAGTGGATACAAGCTTGGTTTCAGAAGCTCCTTTTCTAACATATGGAGGTACAAACGATTTCATTACAAGCTAGTTGCCTATGACATACATATTAGGCATCAAATTGAAGTTACTCAAAATAAAAGGAGGTAAGATTTTTAATCAGCAAAGGTTCTAACACATAGTTGTATTGTTTTTCTTTAGATTTTCTACCAGATGTTCCACCGTTATAATGCTGGTAAGTATGAAAGGATTAATAAAATATTTGCTGGCAGAAATTAGTTTTTGCACATACAACATGGTGGTTTTTTGAAATCATAGTTTTAAAAATGTGAAGAACTGGAAAGAGTCCAAGATTTTACCTTACTTGTATGCTAATAACTTAGTCTGCCACAGTTTTGTGGAAGACCCAGACCCCTAGGTCAGTGATGAATTACTTACAGCAGTAGCAGTAGCCAGATTATCAGCAATTTTGCCCCAGTTACCACAGGATGATGCAAGGAGTGCCAAAAATCACCTGCACATGGAGTGTATTGCATTACAGGACAGGAACCCTCAGCTTAGGGAATCCAGGTCTTTATTATAGTGGGCAATAAGCATGCCTCTCAAGGGTGTTCACTGTGCATACATTTTTGAGACAGTCTGGAGCAAAGGGCAGTGACTGCCTTGCTTGTAAGGTAGGCAGAGCCACCAGAGACCCATGGAGAATTATCTCCCAACAAAAAAAAATCTCTGGAATTTTAACTGAATTGGTTGCAGAAAGTATTGAATTCTATAAGATTTGGTGTCAGTGATTTGCCATTTTTATCGGTTTGATAAAATGATATTTTATTTCCAACATTTGGTTGTAACTCTAACCCATGGATCTTTACAACCAAGTGTATCTAGAATTAGTTATTTATCCCTCTGTGACCACCACTCCTTTTTTGTTCTTGTGAAATTAAGGTAGTATATGCACTTTGATCTGAAACAGAGCTTAAATTATTCTGGGGGAAATTTTTTACTGCAGAATCAGTGTGGGAAGAGAATGGACTGCATTGAACCTACCACTGTACACACAGACTTTTTTAAACAAAAATGAGACACTACTGTACACACTGTTTTGTGACTTGTTTAATTCAAACATGTTACCTTTTACTGGCTAAATAAATATTCCATTATATGGCTGTCATGTACATATTCTTATTTAAGCAACCCCCCTATTGGAATTCTTGTGTAGTTTCTAGTTTTCATTATTGTAAAAAAGCACATAGGCTGTTGTTAGACTATGGAAACATGGCAGACATAACAAAATATATGCTAGTCATGCTTCCTGAGAGAACAGTTAATAACTGTTTTTGATATTTTAATATGTTGATTTCAAAATCAGTTGGCTTTTTTAACACTAATCTATGTACATCCTTAATTTTTGGAGAAATTTTTATTTCAAGTATAGCACTAAATCTTTGAAAGTTTGTTGACAACAGAATGTGGTATTTGTCCATTGTTTGACAAATAAAAAGAAAAATTGGAATCTGGAAATCTCAAAATAATCAGCCTAACATTTGTGATTTTGTCTGCTGGATAAAAAACATTCACATAACATCCTCTGTTTTGTATTTAAGGTTTTTGTTTAAGCAAAATTTTATTTCTCCCATTGCCAATAGATGCTTTTTTTGAGGTAAGAGAAAACAACATAATTAGAAAACATAAATTTTATAATATCTTAAATACTTTTTATTAATTTTAGGAGTTAAGAAGTCTTTATTCCTTTGCTTCAAACCAGAAGACCTTGTTCTCTGCATATAGAGTAGGAGTAATGTTGATTAGAAACTGGCTGGTATTTAAAACTGAAGATTGTCATGACTGTTTAACCTAAGCTCTATGCTGAAGTCAGATTAATTGTCTTGGAAATACTAAATTGGGTAAGTATTTTTAATAAAGGTTTATGTCGAGTGGTGAGAAAAAAATAACAGAAACTTCTGAGAACTACAGTAACTTCAGGGTTATATATCTTATGTTGAGGTTAATAGTGCAGGAATTTTAGTAACATGGGGCTAATTAAATCTAAGCTTGAAGCAGTTTTCAACCAACAATGAGTTACATTTGAAAAATGTTTCTAAAATATGTATAAATCAGAATGCCTGAAAAGCATTTTAATTTAAAATGTGCCTGAGTGACAGATAGCATATGATATCACTTGTGGAATCTAAAAAAATGATACAAATGAACTTATTTGCAAAATAAAAAAAGACTCAGAGACATAGAAAACAGTCTTATGGTTACCAAAGGGGAAGGGGATAGGGATAACTCAGGAGTTTCAGATTAACAGATACATATTACTATATGTAAAATGAACAGGGACCTACTGTATAGTACAGGAACTATATTCAATATCCTGTAATAACCTAAATGAAAAAGAATCTGAAAAAGGAATATATATATATGTATAAAATGGAATCACTTTGCAGTACAGTTGAAACTAACACAACATTGTAAATCAACTATACTTGAATTTTTAAAAAGTACAGTAAAAAAAAAATGTGCCTGGTGCAGTACTAATGTGATTGCCAACCATTCCTTATTGCTATTTATTACATTGTTTCTATTGGAAAGTGAATTCTGCATTTAAATTTCTGGGAGGCAGTCAGAGACACCTGGGTTAGACATTTAGAGATAGAAAGATCCATAACGTCAGAATATTCTGTCATGCTTAAATTCACACAACAGGAATGACCCCTCTAAGGTTAGTTATTCTCCAGGTAGTCTCAACTGAAAGGCACAGATACTCTTGTAATGAATCATGAGCTCTATTCTCAGTTGCACCTACTGGATATCTATTGTTATAAACCAGAGAATACATGTAGATAAATGCCGTATTTTTTTATTTGTAATTGATCTCGTCTTTTTCTTATTGGGGGTTCTCTTCTTTTTAGGATTTCTTGCTAAAACTTCAGAATAGTTATAAAGTAGACAGATATGGTATTATGGTTACTGTGTATTTTGAGACTAAAAAATGTTTTTGTATAATTAAACATCTTTTCATCAAAATGACCTACTTGGTATTTTATTTTTAGACTGATCAATAGTCTTTAAATATTCTATTTCTTAGAAACTATATTGGGTTACTTAAAAGCATAAACTTTGGAGTCAGGCAGGCCTAGGGCCAAATTCCAACTCTGCTATTAATTAATACCTAACCTACGTAACTAATACTTAAGCTCCAGTTTACGTATCTTTAGGATGAGGATAATAATAATTCCTACTAAATAGGTTTACGACAGTTAAATGAAATGATGAGATTGTAAAGTTCTTAGTCCAGTGTTTGGTGTATAGTGATATCTCTAAATATATCAGTTACTCTTAAACAAATTGTAGATTTTCTGGGGTATTCTGTATAATTCCTTTTTTATATGATAATTTTTATCCGAACCATCTGTTGACCAGTTTATTCTTTGCTTCTCTCTTGAGATTTATAATTAATGACCTTAATTAATGAAAACAGATTTGAGTAATTGTTATATCAAAAGCAGTGCACTTACTTAAAATATATCCAGATGATTTGGCACTCCAGAGCAAAATTATCTAGAGAAAATGTAAATAAATGTGAAAATTGTTAACAAAAGTTACTTTTAGTCTGAAAGAATTTAATTGACCTCCAGTCAAGCAGTTTGTGTAGAATTTCAAGTACAGCATCAAGCAGCCATTTAGTTACAACATTGGCACTGATGATATTAAGCTAAAACCCTTTTAGAAAAATGATTTAAATTTTGCAAGATTTCACGTTACATTAAATTTGGCCAGAATTTTTGCTAGTTCAGAGTAATCTGTATTGTACATGACCTGTTATTTAATATGAGAATTATTGTAAATATTTTAAACTAGTAAGTTTGACTATGATAATCTAAAGACAATAAGAATAACTAGCCTACATTTTTTTCTATCTGATTTTATAACTTTTATAAATTAGACTGTAAGAGAATAATTGTTTCATTACTTCTCTCATTGGATTGCTCTATAATTTAATTCTGGGTACTCAAAGAATGACCCCCACAGAAAAAAAAAATCATCCCCACAGGAACACAATAGTACTGTGAATATCCTTTTTAGATATTCTGTTTTCTATTCACTTAACATACTCAAATATAAACTTGCTTCTTAGGAAAAAGTGCTTAAATGGTTTTAAAATATTTAATCATTGTAACTTGTTTATAGTCACCCTTTGTTTTAGCAGATTAACATTCAGTAATGTTTGTTAAATAAATACTATAGCTAGATGTGTAAAACAGAGTAGGTTTAGGGAATAATAATTTCTTCTTTTTCAGGGTAACCCAAATCTGTTTCTGGAACCATGAAAATTTTGCTGGTTTTCGACTTTGACAATACAATCATAGATGACAATAGTGACACCTGGATTGTACAGTGTGCTCCAGAGAAGAAGCTTCCTATTGAACTACAAGACTCTTATAAAAAAGGATTTTGGACAGAATTTATGGGCAGAGTCTTTAAGTATTTGGGAGATGAAGGTGTAAGAGAAGATGAAATGAGAAGAGCAATGATATCAATGCCTTTTACTCCAGGGATGGTGGAACTTTTAAACTTTATAAGAAAGAACAGGGATAAATTTGACTGCATCATTATTTCAGATTCAAACTCAGTCTTCATAGATTGGGTTTTAGAAGCTACCAATTTTCTTGATGTGTTTGATAAAGTATTTACAAATCCAGCAGCTTTTGATAGCAGTGGTCATCTCACTGTGGGAAATTATCATGCTCATTCTTGCAATAGGTGCCCCCAAAATCTTTGCAAAAATGTAGTTTTGGTAGAATTTGTAGATAAACAGTTAAAACAAGGAGTGACTTATACGCAAATTGTTTATATAGGTGATGGCGGAAATGATGTCTGTCCAGTAACCTTTTTAAAGAAGAATGATGTTGCCATGCCACGGAAAGGATATACTTTACAGAAAACTCTTTCTAGAATGTCTCAAAATCTTGAGTCTATGGAATCTTCTGTTGTAGCTTGGTCTTCAGGTGTTGAAATAATTTCTCACTTACAATTCCTAATAAAGGAGTAATCTGCCAACAATTGAAATGTGTATCAGTTAAGATTAGGTACAGCAGCATAAAACTAAAACTTCAAATACCAGTGGCTTAAAAAAAAATTCTTTCTTACTTAAAAGAATTCCAGAGTTAAGTATCTCAAAGCTCCTGTGTTGCTCTACCAACCTCAGCACTTGGCTTCCAACTCACTATCCAACATTGATGCTCAGGCTCCATCCCTCACATCAGCATTCTGGCCAGCAAGAAGGACAGTGCATGAGAAGGTTACACCCTCATCTAAATTTTACTGGCCAAAACTTAGTCACAGTGCTCTTACCTAACTGCAAGGAAGGATGAAAAATACAGCTTTTATTCCTGATGGTCGTGCGCCTGGGAAAAATTGGAAAAAAGAGGAGTACAAAATTAAGGTAAGTACAACTAGTGGTCTCTACCAAAGGTGGTTATTAGGTAGATTATATTTTAAAATTTATTCCCAGAGAGAATAGTCATCTGTTTTATTTTCTTAGATATTTATTTCCATAGCATGGCTAATAGTTACAGATCTTAAAAATAAGCTTAATGCTTAATCCACATAAAATTTTTGGCAGTGAAGTCTTGAGTGTTGCAATATATCATTTGTAGGAACACTCAACATTTAAGAGACTGTTTCATATAGGGATATTAGCAAAATATCAACTGACCTAGAAAGCTTTATAATACCATGCTAATTTCTAGGCTCAGATGTTTTAGGCATAAGTATCCATTATGTAATAATATTAGTATTTTCTTTTCCACTATTGAAACTCCAGAAATAGAAATGTTCCATGTAATTTTATGGGAAAATATTGGTACTTTCTAATTTATTTTTTTGTGGTTGAAAAGGTAAATCTTTGTTTTGCTTTAAATTAATAGTTAGATTATGTTGAAACACATTTACTGTTAAAGATTATAATTTCTCCACATGTTGAAGCTAGTAACAAATATAAAAGTAAAAAAATAATAATAATGAGGCTTTCATTTATAGCATTTGTAGACCAAGTAATTTGGACCAGGTCTTCTACAGAGTACATCTAGAAAAGCTGATAGCTGAACAAGAATTTTAAAACATCTGCTTAAAAACATGAAAGAGCTGACAGTGATAAACAATAGCTCAGGAAGCACAGAAACCTAGGCAGGTTAGCTGCTCATCCCTGAAAGTGCTGGCCAATTCTGTAAGTGGTGCCTGAGATACTGAGTGACTATCTTGGCAATCTTACGGGACCAGGGGGAAGAGGTATTGGAGTATGAGGCCTGCAGTGATAAACCTTCCCCTTACTTTGAATAAGGATCTGAAAATGCTGCCCATCCAGAGTAAGAATGATTCAGAAGTAAATAGACCTTCAGAGGAATATCAGTTCTCCTTTAAATACTTTCAATCCCTGAAATTGGACTGAAGTTTTCTAAGATTTTTAGAGCTCTTAGGTGCTTGGTAGAAGCAAATAGGAATTCTCTCATGGGGAAGTTAACATCCTAAGTATGGTAAGCAGACCCTAAGTTAAACCCAGTTGTGATCCTGTAAGTTGGTATTCCTTGTGTGTGTGTGTGGAGGAAATGATCTATGACTTGCTTCTAATTAATGCAATATCACAGAGATGATGGGATGCATGTGATTATGTGTATATAATTATATTACATCAGGTTCTAATGCACATCTTGTTAAGAAGCTCTCTCCCTTGTTGATTTTGAAGAGGCCAGCTGCCATGTTGTAAACTGGTACATGGCAAGCAATTGAGGGTAGCCTCTAGCCAATGGGAAGAAGTAGGTCCTTGGTCCAGCAGTCTGCAGGAAACTGAATGCTATAACCAGTGAGTTTGAAAGTGGATCCTTCCATTGTGGAGCCTCACCTGAGATCATAGCTCAGGCTAACATCTTGATTTAGCCTTGTGAGACCCTGAAGCAGGTCCTTTGAGCTGTGCTCGGACTCCTGTACCAACAGAACCTATGAGATAATAAATGTGGGTCATTTGAAGATGATGTTTTTGGTAATACTGTTTGCAGCAATAGAAAATGAATGCAACAATCCTCAAAATAAATCTATAAACAGTATTGTAAGTACATTATAGGGCACACAATAAAAAGAGACACACCAAGGAACATAAATGAACACCATCAGGAACTTCATTTAAACAGATCTTGCATACAAACTACTATATATAAAATAGATTTTTAAAACCAAGGTTTTATGTGTAGCACAGGAAACTTTATTCAGTAGCTTGTAGCTTGTCATAACCTATAATAAAAAAATATATGTATGTATAACTGAATCACTAGGCTGTACACCAGAAACTAACACAACATTGTAAGTCAACTATACTTCAATTAAGAAATAAATAAACAAACCTGTAGGACCTTCAGGTATTGGAGTTTTCAGACAAACTAAACTTTGGCAAAGAATTGAGAATTATATAAACAGTATGGATGTACTAGAATTGAAAATTACCGTGACTGGAATTAGAGTCTTGATGGATGGATTTGACAATAGAACAGGCACAGCTAAGAGAGTGAGTGCATAAACACAAGTTAGAAGACAATATCTGGAATAATACAGTGACAGAGCAATGATAGTACAGAAGAGAAATTAAGACATGGGAGGCACAGCAAGATCTGACATAGGAAGTTGGTGTCCCACAAAGAGAGGAGAAAAAAAATTGAAGCAAGCAATATTTTAAGAAATAATGACTGAGAACAGTACAAAATTGATAAACGGCATCAAACCAGAGGTTTAGGAACCCCAAACAGGAAAATAAAAAGATGTAAAACTGCCAAAAACCAAAGATGGAAAAAGCATAAACCTGCCAGAGAAAAAAAATGACATTGAAAGGAGCAACAATCAAACTAACGGCTGGTATTATTTTTTTCATCTATGTTTGATAAAATTCAGCAGTGAACCATCTAGGCCTGGAGTTTTCCTTTGAAGATTTTAACTACTAATTCAGTTTCTTTAGTAGATTATGGATTCAGGTTGTATAGTTTTTCTTGAGTAAGCTTTGGTAGTTTGTGACTATTTATTGGTGCATAGTAAATTTCCTCTGAATTTAACAGCTTAAAACTAAGCATTAATTATCTCACAGTTTCTATGGATCAGAAATACAGGAGCACTTAACTGGATTGTTCTGGCTCAGGGTCTCTAATGGTCAAGATGTCAGCTAGGGCTGTAGTCATATGAAAACTTGACTAGAGCTGAAAGATCTGCTTGCAAGGTGGTTCACTCACATGGCTTTTGGCAAGTGGCTTTGGTTTCTCAACAACTGTTTTCAGCAATTCTCAGTTTATTGCTGATTGTTGGCGGGAAGCCTCAATTTTCACCACATGGGAGTGTCCAAAGTGTTGCTTGAATGTCCTTAAAGCCATGGTTTCCTGCCAACTGAACGATCTGAGAGAGAGGGCAAAGAGGAAACCACCATGCCTTTGTGACCTAGTCTCAGAAATCAGACACCATCAATTCTACTGTATTTGGTTTGTTAAAACATAATGCTAAGTCAAGCCCACACTCAAAGGGAGGGGAACTGGACTCTACCTTTGAAAGGGAAGTTAAATAATATTGGACATAGTTTTAAATGACCATAGCATCTCTCAAGGACTTTGTCCATTTCATGTAAGTTGTGCAATTTATAGGCATATAGTTTTACATAATGTTTCCTTGTTAATTCTTTAGTTTGACTGTGAACACATGAATACCTACTATCTAGATTTTACCATTAACATTTTACTGTCTGTTTTATTACATATCTGTCTGTCCTTCCAGCTATCCGTCTTTTTTTTCCCTTTGCCTTTTTAACGTAAGCATTGTTCTTTCACTTTCCTTCTTTGTTCCCCAGTGTATAAAAACCAGTGCTTCTCTGGCTTTAACTGGAACTCAAATATCTTACAGCTCCATGTGAACTCTGGGAATTGTTTATGGTTCTTGGGGTCACTTTTTGCCCATACTTTGGTGTTTCACCCTATGCATGTGTGGCTTACTATCTAATCACAGACTCAAGGGGAACTCCCCTCTTACAGATTTCTGGAGCTCTCTCCATTTAGCTCCTTCCTGTCTGGTACTCTGCCCTACGAATTGCAGCCAGTTCTGCCTCCTCAAACTTATCTCCATCTGTTCAATTCAGTGAGACTACCATGCTCTGCTTGGGATTCCACCTGCTGTACCTCAGGCTGAAAGTGTCTCCAGGCAGAAATACAGGCAATTATCAGGCTCACTTCATTTGTTTCCCTTCTCTCATGGATCGCAGTCCTGCACTGCCTCTTGTCCAATGCTTGGAAACTGTTATTTTATATATTTTGCCCAGTTTCTTATTATTTACAGTGGGAGGATTAGTCCGATCCCAATCCCTCCAGAAGCAGAAGTCGTAATATCTCAATTTTAATTTCTAATGCAACATGGTAATAAAAAACTCTGCTCTAGGTTAGAAAGACCTGAACTTGAGTTCTAGGCCTGCGTTGGGTAAATTACTAGTCTCTCAACACCTCAATTTTCTTCTCTATTAAATGGAGATAATAATAGTTCCTTCCTCCCCTAACATTGTTGTGAAGGTTTACTGAATTAGACATTCTGTTAGTTTATTGTGGCTATTGTAACAAATTAACACAACCTGGGTGGCTTAAAACAGAAATATTTTCTTTCTCAGTTCTGGAGACCAAAGATCCAAAACAGTTTCACTAGGCTGAAATCAAGGTATCAGCAGGGCCACCCTCCATTAAAGACTCTAGGGGAGAATCTGTTCTTTGTCTCTTCTAGCTTCTGGTGGCTGCCAGCATTCTTTGGCTAGTGGCTGCATCATCCCAATCTCTGCCTTTGTGGTCACATTGCTTTCTTCTTTTCTGTCTATATCAAATATCTCTCTGCCCCTTTCTTACAGGGACATTTGTCATTGCATTTAGGGCCTATCTGGATAATCCAGGACCATCTCCCCATCTCAAGATCCTTAACTTACATCTACAAAGACCTGTTTTCCTTATAAGGTGACATTCATGGGTTCCAGGGATTAGGCACCAACCAGTCAAAACAGAAGCACCAAACAGAAGAATGGATGCTGGCCACAAACATAACAGGGCCTGTGGCTGAATAGGAGCCCTGCTCGGTCCTGTATGCCAGCACCTCACACACATACTGCACACTCAGTGTTAGATCACTGAAGTCCAGGTTTAAATTAGTTCTGTTTCCTCTTTTTAAATGTCTGGACATGTCCTTTGCTTATTCATCTGTAGGGTCTTGTGTTCTGCTTATCTATGTTTCTGAGTACTTCATACATGGAAGATACTAATATTGCCATATTTGTGACAAATATTGTTTGTTTTATGTTAATCTTTTCTAAATCTTATGCTTGATTATTTCTAGATAATCTAGACTCAATCTTCATTTTAAAATATAAACATCTAAATTAAACATGTGATTTATTCTCTCATTAGATTGTTAGATTTAATGAAACAAATCTATTGATATAAATTAACTAGGCTTTTTAAAATATAAGACTCTTGTTCTCTAAAATTTTCCCTTTGAAAACAAAAGAATCTCTGTGTTTCCCTCAAAGATAAGCAAAGTCTTCATGGCCAGCTTTACTATGCTGAAAGGTGAACTTATCAAATAGAGATGGTAGAGTTAAAAATGTAAATCGAAAAAGGCTACTGAAGTCATAATAGGATAGAGAAATAGAGGAACCTCCTGTTCTTCACTGGATAGCCATGGTAGACTGAATTCTAAAATGGTCCCTGAGATTCCCCACTCCCTGGTGTACATGCCAAGCATAATCCCCAGTATGTGAATTTGATGTATTTTACTACCATGATTAGGTTATGTTTTATGGCACAATTGACTTTAAACTAGAGATTGTCCAGGTGGACCTGACCCAAACACACGAGCCCTTTAAAAGCAGAGACTTTTCCTGGCTGGTAGCGGAAAAGGAAGTCAGTGATTCGAAGTGCAAGAAAGATTCAACATACCATGGCTGGTTTAAAGCTGGAGGAAGGGACATAGTAAGGAATGCGGACAGCCTCTAGAGCGGAGAGCAGCCCCTGGCTGACAGCCAGCAAACAAACAGGGACCGCAATCCTAACATTAACTGCAAGGAAATGAATTCTACCACCAGGCATGTGAGCTTGGAAGAGGATTCTGAGCCCCAGATGAGAAACACAGCCCAGGTTGGCACCTTGATTTCAGCCTGGTGAGAGCCTGAGCAGAGAACCCAGTCACACCATGCCCAGACTTCTGACCTGCAGATACTGTGACATATCTTTGTGTTGTTTTAAACTGCTAAATTGTAGTGACTTGTTACATAGCAGTAAAAAACTAATACAATAGCTAATCCCATCTCTTAAGGAATAGTAGTCTAATTTTCATATGCACACCTTTTTTGTAACTAGGTGTTTGGCAATTCATACTATAAAGTAACAAATCATTCTTTATTCTGACTAGACAGAGAACATTGTGATGTATGAAGAGAAGCTCATGAAAATGTCCCTGCCTTTGAGAGTTTTAGGAGTGGCTTAAGTTTTCTGCTAATCTGTTTTCTAAATTTTTATAACTGTACTTTAAAAAAAGTGTTAAAGAAATCAAGACCTCCTGGGAGATAGAGCACACCCAGTATCACCTACCAGTGAATGGCCAGGGCTGCGCTGCTCAGACAGAACTGACTGCACGTAATTTCTGAGACCCGGAGCACAGTACAAATGCAGCACTTCTTGTTCAAAGATTATTAAGAATTTGAAGACAGCAGAGCATTTAACCAATGCTCTTCTGACTGCACAGATAACCATGAAGCCAGATCTGTGCCCATACCTTCTCCAGCAACTTCCAGATAAAAGCTTTGCCAAGGGCTGCTTACTGTCCAAAGGCCCAATACTTCTTCACTGCTTGGGTGACGTTTACAAACTGATTGACCATAATGTCACCATATACCAAATCCTTTCATAATTTTCTCGAAGTGTGTTTGTGTATGTGTGTGTGTGTGTGTCTGTGTATATATGCATATAGATGTATACATATATATATGTGCTCTTTGACACAGATGGATTATTCTTATAATTGTTATATTGCTTTTGTCACAAAATTATAGCATAAGAATTGACCTATATTAATAAATATTCTTTAAATTTAAGATTTTTAATTTAAATTCGCTTTTTTTGCACTTTAAATGGAATGAAGTGTAAATAAAATTAAGGAAGAATTGAGAGGGAGGAAGAGAGGGAAGAAAGGAAGATCTCTGTCCTTTAAAGAACTCATGAAGTAAAACAAGAGGACAGTATTGAAGTGTGACGTGGTTGCTGTGTTAGGAAGGTGTAAGCATTACTACATGCATAATGTAAGTAAGTATAAACTTGTTTTACCTGAAAAATCTTTCAAAATAGAAATATTATTCCAATTTTCTATATGAGAAAACAAGCTTGGTGAGGTCACAGAACTAAGTAATAAAAGAATTCTTCAAAACTAGGTAATGTTTAGTCAAGAGATCTGAATTCTAGTCCTAGCTCTAACTGCTAATTAGCTATATGACTTTGGTGAATTATTTTGCTTCTTGGAGTTCATTTTATTTTCTATAAAATAACCAGACTGAGTTTTATCCCTAAGTACCTTCCAGTTCTAAAATTCTGTAATTCTGCTACCATTATGAATTTAAGTGCTCTGTAGGTTTAGCTACAAGGCAATTTTTAAGTCTATCCTCTGAATAAAATTAACTCACCCTATTTTAAGGCCTTCAGAAGGAGGTTTTTATTTTATCACAGAACCATTTTGGGGTCGGCCTTGCTGATTTTCAGCATATTAATAGGTCGCAGGTTTGAAGTCTTCATGTTGCTTAGTTTTCTTGTCTTTAGGCTAGATAACTGTGATTTCTTTATCTGATCCTTAGAAATGAATTTTTATTTTCATGACTCTCCTCTGACCTACTCACAGTCCTCTCTGACCTTCAAGATTGTCCCTGAACTAGAGAGACACAGTACTATATTCAAGGAACAAGACATTGATTATCTCATTTTGCTCTATTAAGCATTGTCTTTCTTCTCTCTTCCTTTTTTCCTCAATGTATTGTAAAGCAGTGCTTCTTGGGATCATGTTAAAATGCAAATTGTTTTTCATAGGTTTGGGGTGGGACTTGAGATTCTCCTTTTCTAACACAGAGATAAAATATGTCAAATACTTAGATGCCTCTTGATTACCACACCTGCCGAGTCTAGCACCATTTCCTATAAAAACAATAAAACCCAGAAAGCAATCTTTACTGGCTTATAGGTCAAGTCTGGGTGCCATAAAAATAATCTAAAAGTCAATTCAACCCCTAAAAGTGAGTCCAACCTGTCCACTCTAAAGGAGCAGCCAAGCATCATGATGTGCAGGCTTATCTGCCACAGGATAGCCTACCCCAGCTCCTAGGCACTTGATCACCAAAGAGGAATTACTAGACACAGAAATAAACTGCTAGAGTGGGACCTGGCATAGCAAATGACTTATTGTAGGCTTTCTTGACTTCCGGCACTATAGGCATTTTGGGCTGTATAATTTCTTGCTGGGGGTCAGGGGCAGGAGTGGGTGTTTCCTATGCGTTATGGGATATTTAGAAGCATCCCTGACTTCTACTCACTGGATGCCAGTGCCACTCCTCCCTGCAAGTTGTGACAACCAAGAACATCTCTAGACATTGCCAAATGTCTCCTGGGAAATAAAATAATCCCTTTTTGAGAATGACTTACTTAATGCTTAAAAGTCCATATCTTTTATTTGTGGATCAAGTGAAGATATAGCAATTGTACATAAGGAATCCTGCTACTCTTAAAGCCACAGATCCAGAATATTTCCCATGTAGTAATCTCCATATCACCAAGCCTTGTCACACCATAATCACCACCTGAGTGTTTAATAAATATTTTTGATGTCCAGCTCAGTCACCTCCTTCATGTATTAGTACATATTAGGCTTCTTTTCCTGTCCAAGTACTATATGTACTGTGGCATAAATCTGTTAGTTTAAATCTGCGTTTGTAGTGCAAGTGTAGTCTTTTAATAGTACAGGTTATAATTACATCTTTGTTCTACTTTTAAAAAATGTTCCCTCTGATACACATTACTTTTACAGCATTTAAATTTTTTAGCTTCTGTTTTATACTAGCCCTGAAGGAGAGTTAGAAATTTTCCTTTGTGGTCTCATAAGCTGCTTCCAAGGGACAGCTGATATATCAATAGGGCAACTGCAGGCAGGCACCAGACCAGGTAGAGTAGCTCTATTAATAGTGTGAGTAGGACTGGGATTTGTAACCACTTCCCTACCCCTATTATCAGGTATGCTTTTCTTCATAAGATGAGAGAACGAGTGCTTTACTGACCTAATAGCCCCACAGCACATCTTCAGATGAGACCAGTTGTAGGGAATATATAAATAATTATTAATTGCCTTAAATCTTTTAGCTAACACGGTATCATTTTGTGCTGCCTGATGGGCTTCTTTTTCAGATGGACAATGTGATAGTTCTGTTGTAAACAGATTTTTCGATGTGCTCTATAAGGGCATATGCAATAATGTATTCTAAGCCAAATGCTAAATCTGTCTTATTTGTTTATGTCATACAAACTGCTGTCTGTGTGATGATGGTTCATATGGAAACAAAATATTAACAAAAGTATTTCCTGACACAAAAATTCTTGGAAACTCCCATTGTTTATGGAAGATGTTACATAGTTAAAAAAATTAGTTTGTCCTTTATATTCAAACAATAAATTTTCAGTAATATATCTAAACAACTAGTAAAAATATTTACAATTAAACTAAATACCACTTGCTGCATAGGATTTTATAATCAGTGCCAACTGGAAAACTTGCTCATTCACATTTTTTTCTGCCCCTCTAGAATCATTGTCTGCATTTTATTACATACCAAAATCTCTACTATTTTCACAGCTTGGTCCATGCAATATTTTATTATCCTCAGCTCAGTATGAGTGCATATTCTTTCAGAGATTTATTAATAACTTGGCCCTTTTCAGGTTTAAATCCAGAAAAAATATCCTATTGAACAATTTTGGAGGATAAAAATACTACAGTAAACAAATATTTTTGGGGTCTACTGTGTGCAAGAAACCAAATCAAAACAAAAGCCTGTGGAAGTAAAAGAAGTGTAGGACTATATCTTACAAAGAATGATGCCCTTCAGAGAATTTACAATGTGACTGAAGAGGTGGGACATGTACATATGTAGTTCATAATTTCCAAATAGACTTCATGAAGCATCTTAGTAGTAGCATAAACGAAATACTTAAGTCAAGGAACAACTAGATGACCATACAGTATTGTGTTTTGTACTTGGTCAATTGATTAAATGTGCTTTAAGAGAAGCTTTCTGAAGGAGGTACACTGTGATCTACACTTGAAAGGATGAAAAGGATTTGGAGATATGGAAAGGACTTGACAGAGCTTCCCAGATGTAGGGAATATTGTGAACCAAAGTGAGTGTAAGCAGAGCGTATTCATGAGGTAGAATGTGGCCAGCCTGATGAAGTTTAGGGTTTAAAATGGGGAGTAGGAGAATAAAGCTTTGTTAAGTGGAATGTGGCCAGTTTATGGACAGGTTTGAAAGCTAATCAGTGGAGTTTGAATTTTTTCCAGGTAGCCCTAAGAGCAAGTGAAGGGAAATGATGTCAAGAAAGTGGTGTTTGGGGAGGATAAAAGGTAAGGTACAGCTTGAGAGGACAGGAGAGAGACTGACACAGAAGAATCTTGCAGTAAGCCAAGTGATGAAGACCTGATAAGAATTCTGTCAGAGGCAATGAAAAGGAAGGGATAGATAAACCAGATGCTTTGAATTTGAAGATGAAAAAAAGCACAAAACTTTACATCATATGCTTCAGGAGGGCAGTGTCTGTGGATTAACTCATTTATATAATTTCTTAGAGAACGGTGAGCCCTTGAGCAAGTTTTTGAAGAAAGTTCTAAAAGTCTTACTTTTAGTGCACTCTTGTTTTCACTTTTGCGACATTTACTGAGTATCTGTTATGTGGCAGACCCTGTTCTAGGAATACGGAAATGAACTGGAGAAATACTACGAACAAAACAGACAAAATCTCTGGTTTCGTGGAGTTTATATTCTAGGGGGAGAAATCCCACCATAAACTTAAAAATAAGCAAAATATGTAATATTATAGATGGTAATAAGTATTACAAATTAAAATAAAGCAGGGAAGGGGGATAGGGAATATTGGGTGGAGTACGGAGATCCTATTAAATAGATTGTTAAAAGAAGGCCTCTCTGGGAAGTTGGTATTTGAGCAAAAACCCAGTGGAGGTGAGTGAGTGGGTCCTGTAGCAGTGCGGAGGGGCGAGGAAGAGCAGTGCAGGCAAAAGGAATAGCTAGTAGTAAGGCCCGGAGGCAGCACTATTCCTGGTGAGGGCAGAAGCAGGGATGGATGTGGGGGTGGCAGGAGGCCATTTTAAGTACTTTGGCTTTTAGTGAATGAGACAGGAAGTCACTGGAAAGTTTTCATCTCTAACTTATGTAAGAGTATCAGTCTATCTTGATTGATTTGAGCTAATGTTCTTTTATTCTTTTTCCAGCCAGAAAAATTGTTTTTCTTTTTTTTTTGTAATTGAAAAAGGTCCTAATTTATTATCTCCTGCCTTGTATTAATTTTATCTGGAATTTAGCTTTAACCATGGCACCCAAAAATATATTCTCAGTAAATTACTATCTTTTAAATGACCCTCTTCCAAAGAGTAGTAAGCTAGTTCCTACTTTGAGAATAAACCTATTTTTTGAACAAGTACTCCAAAAGTAACATATATCCTCACTTCCACATTGTCAGATTGATTTTGAAAACTTTCCGTTATAAGTTTAAACATTTGCCAAGGTTGTAATTTCTAAAATATTGTAAATAGTGCCTTTTTAATAAGCTTTTAAATAACTCTTTTAAATTTATGTAGTAAAAGCTAACAATTGTAATTTGAAACCTAGCATCATTCATTTAAAAATACACAAACAAGTTGTCCAATAGTGGGAAATTGTTATCTTATTTTTTTTGAGCTCATATTTACATTGGACTTCTCCCAGAGAGTGTTGTCCTACTGAAAATACAGGCAGTCCTTGCATAAAAATGACTGTGCAAGATTTCCATGCAAAGTAATCTTAGTAATCAGTAGGAACAATTGTGATTGTCCTGTGACCTTTAAATTTTTTTTGTCAGAACTTTAAAAACTCTTAGTGTCAGCTATAAGTGTACAGGAAAACAAAAAAACAGTAAGACCAATATTTACTTACTACACTGCTATTAGAAACATTGGAAATTAATGTATTATATTTCTTTTTAAAAACCTTATCCAGAGTAAACAGTTCTCAGCTTCCTTTTGTGCTATAATTTACAATATAGAGCAGTCATCTTTCTATGCCTTAGTGAATTGTCATACTGCCTTCTAAGTTTGGGATCAGCTTCCAACATTTTTCCTTTGCATTTCCAATATTGAGAAGTGTTGCCAAGAATTCCTTTAATATGAAATCTTTTGCCAGCATCACTTTTACTAGGATATCTTCCTTCTGTTTGTCAACAACTATCCTCACATGAGTCGCCAAGTTCAGCTGGCCGCATATCCAGCATCTCTCCACTACTGGCAGTGTCAGTGTTCCCATGGTCAGCTATTCCTTAGAACCTCATTACATTCAACGAAAATTTCACTTTTGGCATTATCACTTTTAATTCTTTGCTACATTTTCATTTTTGTTGGCCAATGCCCTCTTTCAGTCATCTATTTTTGTAAAACACCACATAGATTTATCACTGGCAGACAGGAGGTAAGAGAACTTACAAGCTTTGCTTTCTTGTGTGAACTGAGTAACAGATGCACAGTGACCAATCACCAAGGGCTTTGAAAGAAAAGACATGATTGGTCACTGATTATGATGCTCATCTGGTATTTATGTAGTGATTTGTGGACTGAAGAGTTAGAGGGTGAAATTTGTATTTTATGCAATTACTCACAGTTAATATAACATAGTAATTGAACTCAAGACCCTGTTTGGGGGATTGGTGTTATTTCACTAGATGGTGGTAACTGGAAATTCATGTATATTGGAAACATTCAAAGAAAGAATTGTCTGTATATTTTTATACTTGAAAATCTTTCATTATCACCTCTTAAGCTTCTCTGCAATAAAAATGTACATAAATTTTTAATTGTTTTATGTCCTTGATTCTTAAGTGGTAAAAAATTTCTAGGCTGATTAACATTACAATTATTATTATAATTGACCAAACAACATAAATATGTTTAAATTAAATCAAAAGTAAAAATTTATCAAAAATTCTTTCAATCTGATGAATTGGGCTATTTTATTTTCATTTAGACCAAATAACCTTGGTTGAGTATTGCTTTCTGGTCACATGAGACAGAATTTAGTATCAGTGATATTCTTGTTTATCATTTCTATAGATGTAATCCCTGAGAAAATGTGTTCCCATAGACAACTAGATGGAAATGAGAGGAATTTTATTATAGCAGGGCCATTCATTTCATGGATTCTTTCCAAGTTATTTGTCAAAAGTGCTCTTTGACTGTTGTTGAAAACAAGGGATTGGAAACCTTTTGGCTTGCAAAAGCACTTGTTAGCCAGCCATTAGAATGTTCACTTTCCTCTTTTCCAGGAAGCATACCAAAAAGGCTTTGCTAAGACACAGCAACTCCAGGGCAGCCACATATACCTCTGCAGTTTGTATACAACTCCAGAGACAGTGTTCACCTGGCACTCTACTTGGTGGAATGACCTGGCATTGTGCAGTGCACAATTTACATAGCCCTATGTGGTGGTGTTATAAATTATACCTACTATTTTTTCACTTAACATCAACTTGTTTAATCCAGTATGTTAAATGAAGTATACAAAATTCTCTCTGCACACTGGCACATTTACACACACTGATAACATCATAATTAGCGTATTGAACATTTAATGACATCGCAATAGTTAGTGGAAAGAGGTACTAGTAAAGTAAAAACAATAAATGAAATTGTTATTTTTAGAAACCAGTTGTCTTTTGAAAAGTGCAATGTGATGTCAAAAAGCCTTGAATGCTAAGCTCAGTGTCTGCCAAGAGTTGTTTATCTCTCATCTCCATGGTGGCTCTTTATTTCCCTATGACTTGGTTTCACAGATGGCACATTTGTTTTCTTGAACAGTGTCATTAATTTATTTAACTTATGAATGCTAATTATATGTTTCTGAGTGTATTGAATCTATTAGCATTTGCAATGGTCTCTTTGATAAGAGGAACTGCTCCTCTCTTGGCAGGTTGAAGCAGTCTAATATATACTTTTGGGAGTTTTTTTTAGATATAACTGACATATAGCTGATACACAGTTTTAAACAGTAATTCACAACAAGGGAACATCAGGCAATGGAAGCAAAAGTTTAAATTGGTCTCTTCAGCAATCTGAAATAACAATATAGTGAATTCAAGAATCGTTTATTACATACCATTGTGATTCTAGAAGCCCCTCCTCTGAGTTAGGCAGAGCCTGTATTTACTATACATCAAACTTGGCATCATAGCCACAAACAGCCACCTCCACACTTCAGTGATAACCATGGAAAGAATGCCCCGTCTTCAGTCAGTCACAATCATGTCCTCGAATGACAACACCAACAATAACATCACTCTCTGTTATGAAGGACAAACTGTAATTACAGTTAACTACAAAGTTCATAATTTTTGATGAAATGTCAATAAGATACTACTTTCCAAATTGAGGTTGCGATGGAGAATTAAGTGTAAATACCCTTTCGTTATAATCGTTAACATTTATATACCTAAGTGCTTTCACTTTCATAATTTTGTTTTATCTTTACAATAACCTTAGGTTGAGAAAGTACGGATATTTTCTGTGTTACAGGTCAGAAAACTAAGGATCAGAGAAGTTTAGTTATGCCACATGATAGATAAGTGGCAGAGAAGAATCTTAAGCCTGCAACAAAATCTCATATACTTTTATTCTCTACTAAACTGTTTACCAGATGTTGAGATACTAAACCTTTCATTTTTCTTTCTTTTTTTTAATGGAGGTACCGGGGGTGGAACCTGGGACCTCATGCATGCTAAGCGTGCACTCTACACTGAGCTATATCCTCCCCCCCCATCTTCCTTACATTTGGGGTCCAACATACATTCTTCTAATTGTGCAAATGAATCCCCTGATGCCCTTGATTAGAATGCAGATTCCTAGGTCTCCACCTCGTAGAAGTCTGGACTGTGGTGGTGTTTGTGGGGTGCTATATAACCAGCATCCTACATAATTCAATTGAAATGGCCTGACATGTGAAATTAAAGCTACCCAGATGAGAACAAACTGATGATATTTATTCAGATCTTGCTACAGCAAGAGAGTCAGCCACTATCACTTGCCTTTGGCATAGGCTCAAAGGCAGGTAGGGAAGTGGGAAAGCTTTGTAAAAGTGGGAAAAGGGGGAAGGGGTTGTTGGCTTGGGAAAGCTGGAGTCCAGCTACTAGAATCAGGGGATGTTTTATGTGATTGCTTTGGGAAGCATATTTGGCATTCTCTGATTGGTCCCAAGTTGGAAGCAAGGGTAAAAGTAAGGAAGTTGGCAGTCTCTGACTGTTCTGGTCCAATTGCTGCAGAAGTTGTGGTTTGGCTTTCTGGGCTTCTTGTGTGGTTCAGAGTTCAGTTGTCATATACAGTCTGGCTGTTGTACGTTTGTATATTCTTGTCTCTCGGACCGTATGCTGACAAACACACTGGTCCTCTGGTGGTCCTTTCATCCTGGTGTGCTTCCTCCCTCAAGGAGGCTAGACTGTAAACTCCATGAAAGCTATGGACCATCTTTCACTACACTGTTACCAGTGCGTATTCCTAGCAGTCACTCAATAAAATCTTGCAGATGAATGAATGATAAATGAAAATATTTGGTATTGGATTTTGTTGGGACAAGAAAATTTAACTTTCTGGTGTCTCATGCATATGGACGTCTTTATGTGACTGGACTGGCAGACTCCAGGAAGAAAGACTTAAGGCTGCTCCTTCCAGCTACTCTGCTCTAAATACTGTAACCTGAGTCCTTGGCCCTGGCTGCTCCCAGTTTTTCTCAAACCTCCAAGTTAACCCACAGTGTACAAATTAGCCCCAGGGGCTCCCTTCTGAGTGCCCTGTAGGGGACAGGGGATGGAGTTCGTGGGAAAGCGGCAGCTACTTCTGGCATTTTGAAAACAACCTCAACCTTAGACCTTTAGGTTTGCTGCATTCTCTACCCCACCCCCTTCCCTCATTCCTCCTCACCATAAGGGCCTAGGCTGCGGAGAGCGACTCATGGAGGGGAAAAGGGCAACCCCCTCCCAGCCCCTATATAAGGTCTCAATTCAGGACTCAGAGTTTGTCTGGAGAGAAAATAGTCAGGTGTATTTGTGTGTAGGGTAGGGTCGGGGGGACAGGTCCAAGGAGCAGGGGGAAAGCTAGGCGCGGGC